TATTATTAGACACAATCTCATAGCACGTGACAAGCATAGCTAATGCAGGGACAGAATCCCCTGAGACAAGGGCGTTGAGCCAGCCACGGCAATAGTAAGCTAGGAAAACAAAGCAAATATGAATTAAAGCAGAAAATGAATGGAAAATTACAAAGAAAAACGATTAACGGAAGTGAGCACTATCAAAATTCGTGCATCACCCAGATATTCGAGAACGTTCTTCGATGATAATTATTGCGTCTAGTTCAGTTGTGATAGTAGATCTTTAAACTGACCAATAGAAGAACAAGTTTTCAGACCGTATGGTAATGATAACCAATGAGAGTAGCCGGAAAACAAAGGGGACTTTAGATACTGGGCTGACTTAACAAGAAGCAGGATGAGCGCGTTACGGGTTGAGCTTGTCGAAAACCAATTGTACTTCATCATGTGTGAAGGGGTTTTATGAAGAAATATTTTATGAACCAGTGTACAGAGATGGTGCTTATGACGAACGGAGAGAGGAGAAGTGTGTGCAAGTCGATAAAGGGCATCCGAAGGAAAACATCGATCCTTGTTGTAAAGAATTTTAAGTATAAATCTATGGTGGACTTCTAATTGGCTCAGAGTTGTGTCAGAAAGGCCACACCAAGCGGTATCGCAATAGTCGAATATAGGGAGAATATAGCACTGATAAAAATAATAGTTTACACTGGATGGGCAAATGAGTGCAATGTGGTTGTAGTACCCCTAATGCTGAACTGGTTCGCTTGCATACACAGTTGACATGTGCAGCCCAAGAGAGTTTGCAGTCAAACATCACACCTAGATGTTTGTGCTGACACGGACACGGATAGGCATAGTCGAGTCAGGGAAGTATAATGGTTGATCAGGAGAGGATGAAGAAATATACATGGCTTCTGTCTTGTCTAAATTGGGCTGGAGTTTCCACGTTTGCATCCACATGACAGTGCTGTTGATGCGATGCTGCATGGTAAGGAGTAATTGTGCAGGGGAGGAATCAGAACAGATAAGGCCAGTGTCATCCGCATACAAACTAACATCGGGGACAACTGAAGGTAGGTCATTAACGTAAAGCAAGAATAACAAAGGACCCAGAATGGAACCTTGGGGCATAACTTGTGCCCACATTTTTTCATGTAACAATATTTTCCTTAGCTCCCCATCTGAGTTTGTAGAACACAAGAACTGAGCAACGAACGCAAGTGGGCAATTTGGATGATGAGAACTAACAATTCCGGAGTCACACAGTAGAATACCTCTGCAACAAAACAAACAAAGGACGCAAAAAATGATAGCCCAACATCATCATAAAGATTGTCAGAACCTTCCTTCTATCATTGCCAGCAGATGCAAAGCGTTTATGGGCTTTTAATATTATGCCGATCTCTTGCTCCTCTGATGCACATAACTGCCACTTAAAGCAGGGCAAAGGACAGGCGACACCTAACATAATGCCATCACTTGACTATACGGCTTACCATCACGCTGCGCCAACATTCCACATAGCCGCTTAAGGAACCGCACACACTCTGGGGACGCACAGCCGGCCGAGGTGGAAACAAGTGGAGTGAAGTGTCCACGGTCGACATGTACAATCCGCTCGTTGTACTGCAGTTTCTTCTGCCTCTCATGCTGGAGTAACAAGTCAGTGATGGGCTTCTTGGCATAAGAAGCCGCATCCGAGTGAAATAGTCGAACATCTAGGAAGGTGTTCTGTGCCTGAGTCTAGAACCCACGTCCGATCGGGCATCACTGGCAGTGTTGGTGCTGGCTGCTGTGAATATCTCCTCTTCTATCGGAGCCAGGAAAGGCTCAACTGCAACATCAGCGCACACCTCCGTTATCAGGTCGTCAATCCAGTCCCGCACTTCATTGTCCGGCATTGTCGGAAAGCCTCCGGTTGGACAGCACATCGCGCTGGCTGCGGTGAAATCAGCTCCACATGCACACCTTAATGGGACGTCAGCCAAAGGCCATCCGTATCTCAGCGCAGCTGCATCCCTGAAATCACCCTTGCACAGGCTATAACCATGCTCACGCAATGGCAGAGTGTTCAGCCAGCTTGAAACACCCTTGCCAGAAAGGTGTTCCAATTGTCAAGCCGCGGGTGGAGCAAGGGTCTCCCTCACCTGGAAAGACTGCATATCGTCCTTTTTGATACGCACAGATGCAGCAGCAGGGGCTAGGGGAACCTCACCACCATGCCATAAGGCCGTTGCGTGTGCATTTTGCCTTCTTGATCTTTTTTTATTCCATGGCTCTGCTTTCGCCCGTTTTGCCGAGTCAATAATAGTATAATACAGTCCAGGGAGATTGATCCATTAGGCATTAGATGAGTAGTTCTAGTTCAAGATAGCATCCACCTGCTCAGCTGTGATGACTCGGGAGGTCTCTAGAGCACCACTGGCCATTCGCACCAGCGACGGTATGACCAAACCACCTAACCAGGTCGGAAGCTGCATGATAGACAATTCTTTCAGCATCCGAAAATGCCTCTCTACCCGTGATGTGATGGAGAGTAGCCATGGTAACAGTGTATTGTAGATGACTTCATCCTAGCTCAGTCACCGGGAATTTGCACGGTACAAAACAGACACCTGTACATCCATCTCCCCCGGAGACCATGCATGTGTTAGCGCCGCATAGGCTGCATATGGCTCCGTCTCGGCCATATCCGATAGCTTCTTCACCTCGGCGGCCCTCTAAGAGACTCGCTGTCGCACACGGTCGGCCACCGCCGCCCCCCCCCCCCAAACTCACCAACAAAATGAACCCAAGTAAGTACTTGGCTGCACCTGTGACAATACGTATGCCAGTACTGTATCTGCGAACATACGAGACGCTTCCTCCTCGTTTTCGGGCTTGACAAGGAGAAGAGTCTTGTCAGGATTGGTGTTGTAGCCATACTGCTTGCCCTGGACTTGAATGTCGTCCCACCACCTACTGTAACGCGTGGAAACCAACTGCCCTGCCGCGCCAGAATCATCCGCATACCATATCTGCCGTACTGACATGTCGGTGTGGGTAACCTGCAGGGGCTTTACCAAAGGCAGAGTTGCAAGAGAATAACACACCATGCCGGGCAAGGGGTCGCCCTGTGTCGTTCCCTCATCCGAAGACATTTCACCGCCGCCAGAAACAAACAGTCTAGCAGGAGAATTGTAGGAATTTGTTAAAATTTTCGCAAGGGGCGGACACAAGCACATTGTAGTGAATATTGTGTAATGCCTATTCAAACAATTAGAAGTATTGCGCGCACCAACTAAAAGAATCGCATCTGTGCATTGATCGTCATAAAGCTACTGCAGAGCATGTACAGCCGCCTCTATGCCCGCAGGAAGACCCGAGCATTTCTGAATGAAACCGCACACTTCCTGAACTTCGTGGCTTGCAACTCTCAAAACCGCCTTTGTGACGATGCGGCGCAACACCTCACCCGCTCCAACTGGCCGTAGAGATCTACGCCCGGCATCTCTTGTCAAGGGTCACAAGGCGGCAAGCCAGGAATGCGGAAAGCTCCTCCGTTCGCACCCCACGCAGGAAACCACATCACCGAGTCTGCGCACTTTTTCTCGGTGCACAAGGTCGAGACGATTGAGTCTTGAGATGTGCGAGTCCCCGAACCGTGTCGCATGTGAATCATGTGATTGTGAGATCTTCGCACGATGCCAATACAGACTAGCTAGGCGTGATTAGTACTATTGCCAGTATTGGAACTGTATTGGCTTCAGTCGAAAGTGGCGGACCCGCTCGCCTCACATTCTTCACGCATAATCTCGCGACCCACTTGACTGGCTAGATTTACCAGTGATCATGGTAGTAATCATGGTAATTGGTATCAGCCTAGCAGGGGATACCTGGGGCAAACAGCACAGGCCACAGCTTACGACGGACAGCGCCCATGGCCCAGGACATGACCGGAAATAGAAGTTCGCAGGAATATATGCCACATTTCACTCGCACCGGTCTACCATCGCCTTCACTCAGTCTGCACTATTTAGTACCTGCACGATCCGAACAGCGATTTCCGACCAGCTATTTCCGATCAGCTATTTCCCTTGCTGAAAAAGGTGTTGACCGGTCACAAACCAACGTGCTTGCACCAAAATGAATCTCATGATTTCTGTTATCAACCTAGCTACCTTGTTGCTTGGGCTTAGTTTGGATGTCACCGTCAGCGAGTGGTTACGTTTCCATGCCTCGCGGAGCCTGTCGCCGGAAGGTCATTCGACAATAGTTCACACCAAATGCTAGATTTGAGCTAAATGATTGGTCAAACTCGAAATTGTGTAACCTGAGTCCTTCCACCACCACAAAGCACCTACCTGGTCATCTTCAGTCAACTTAGTAGTATAAATATTTCAGTCACTATGGAGAGTGCGTGGATTCTAATCACGGCACTTTGCATCGCTGCAGCTCCCGAAAATGGTGACGGTAAGAAATTTGTAGTGAATTTATTTTCTTGACACGACCATGCAAGTCGCTCTGCTGCAAACTGTCCGAATTGAATTCCACAATTATAACAATGATAAGGATGTTCATCATGAGCGATGGATACGTGCATACAGGCTTGAAAACTCGATACTGCTTTACTAGTCCAGTGCCTGAAGGAGCATTTAGTGTTCCACTGTAGCTTATATCCTGGCAGAGCAATGGAAAACAACAACAAACATTTACATTTGGAGCCATACAATTCATTGCTGTTGTCACCATTTCCTGCTTCATTACCATCTATCAGGCGGAGTAAGGTTATGTCAGGGTGACCGGCAGCTAGCCGCAGTGCATTATCCGCGCAGCATATGCTAGCTCTAACGCGAACACCTTTCCTGGGAATATGCATGCAGCCGATTTTCCGCTGTGTTCCATCGTAGAGACTCCGATTTAATTCTGCTGTGTGTGTGTGTGTGTGTGTGTGTGTGTGTGTGTGTGTGTGTGTGCATGCGCACGTGTGTGTGTGTGTCCTCATGTCGTGCTCGCCTACGCCCTTGTTTGCGCAGGTGCTTGCGGCCCGCCGCCTCAAATCGCCAACGCAGCCACAACCATCGACCAGGGTCGGGAAGAGGGCGACAAAGTGTTCTACGTGTGCAGTCCTCATCCGTTGTATGAGCGACAGAGTACGGTGAACAACGTTCAGTGCACAGCGAACGGAACGTGGAGTCTACCGTATCCAACATGCAAGTGTGAGTACTGAATACAGTACAAATTTTTGTTTAACTACTTTCGCTATATTCGTTAGGGGCACGAAATATCTATTTTACCAAACTAGAGTCTTTTTTCTGAACGTTCACGGTGACAGACCTCGACAAAGAACGAAATTTAGTACGTAACAAGCCTGCTGGTGGAGTGATCTAACGAAAGATTTCGTGAACGAAAATTTGTACTTATACAGTACAGGCAAACTTTCGTCTTGGTGGCTTGGCGCCACATTAATTCTTTCTTCAGTTGGAAATCTCCGTTCACCACCCGGCAAACCCTTTGGTGAGGTTTGTGTTTTGGGGGGGGGGGGGGGAGTGGTTGTCTGTGTATGCATGGCTTTATGCTTTGAAGTATTGCAAATCTCTGTATTTTCTCCTTGGAGGTATTCCAAGTACCGGTAAGGGCAATAATCAAACTACATGTGGTTGTGCACTGAGTATCAGTAATACCAGTTTAGTACACATACACGAATGAAGCCTGGTACTCTCATGCCCCACTTGAAGCAGTCCACAAGTGCATGGCCTAGAGTGCCTGCATGCCTGCAAGGCTGTGCATGCACTGGCTGAACTTACGCAGGAAGTGGTCATTATTATTATTATTATTATTTGACAGTCCTGAGAGCCCTTCTATGATGGGTGCCTAATCAATCAGCCAATGGCTTGATGATCAATAGGGAGTAAAGGTGTGACTGGCTGCGCTTGATGGTCGCAACAAAATCAAAGTAGCTTCAGGGGATGGAGGTACTAGGGTGAAGAAGAGATTTCTCTATTTTGGACAGTTTCCTCTGTAGTGCAATCTGTGGCAAACCTTGCTCATCTGCGCACGACAGTGCTTCCAAGCACACAATGTGCAACTGTTGTATTTGATTTTCTTCACCTGCTCCCAGCCCCGTGCCGTCTCCACACTCAGACAATGGAGGACGCGTTAACTACATTTGAAAAACTGTATTTGTGACAAGACGACGACGGAAACACTACTAGACCTGACGAACTTAAGACGAAGACTGCTTTTCACACCACAGCAACTGTTCTCTGGCTAGTCTTCTGTGCTAGCTCTGGGAGTAGTTCTGTCAAACCAGAACGGATCACGAAAGATATTTTATTTCATTATTTTCTGGGAAAGATGCAAGATGCACTTATGGTTGATAAATATGGTGATAAACACACAGCTGGCAATATGGCGGTGGTAGGCGAGTGGACCAGGCCAACCACCAAAGTCAGTTGTCAACGACCGAATGTCCCAATTGTTGAGTCCATAGCAAGAGGTCCACTAAAGAACACTGATCAGGGAAGTTTTTTTGGAATTAAAGTAATAATCGAGCACTGTTATGTACTCAGCATCCAGAATAAAACCAGTGTCCAGTGGCAAGGCTTAGTGGAGCACTGTGGTCTCACACATACGTGTACACCTACTGATAACGTTTGACTTCATGTTGATTAATACTAGCGTTATGCTCGGCTTGCCAAAATATTGAACATAAATACATTTAGGTGTCTCCTTTCGTCCGCTGATTGTAATCTATCACTCACGTTGTCTCTCTTAATGTCTCTTTCTCTGTCTCCCTGTGTCTCTCTTTGTCTCTCTGTCTCGCCCTGTCTCTCTGTCTGTCTGTCTGTCTCTCTCTCTCTCTCTCTTTCTTTCTTTCTCTCTCCCTCTCTCTCTCCCTCTTTCTCTCTCTCTCTCTCTCTCTCTCTCTCTCTCTCTCTCTCTCTCTCTCGACTCTTTCTCTCTCTCTCTCTCTCTCTTTCTCTCTCCCTCTCTCTCTCTCTCTCTCTCTCTCTCTCTCTCTCTCTCTCTCTCTCTCTCTCTCTCTCTCTCTCTCTCTCCTTCTCTCTCTCGACTCTTTCTCTCTCTCTCTCTCTCTCCCTCGACTCTTTCTCTCTCTCTCTCTCTCTCTCTCTCTCTCTCTCTCTCTTTCTTTCTTTCTCTGTCCCTCTGTCTCTCTCTGTCTCTCTCTCTGTCTCTCTCTCTCTCTGTCTCTCTCTCTCTCTCTCTCTCTCTCTCTCTCTCTCTCTCTCTCTCTCTCTCTCTCTCTCTCTCTCTCTCTCTCTCTCTCTCTCTCTCTCTCTCTCTCTCTCTCTCTGTCTCTCTCCCTCTCTCTCTCTCTCTCTCTCTCTCTCTCTCTCTCTCTCTCTCTCTCTCTCTCTCTCTCTCTCTCTCTCTCTCTCTCTCTCTCTCTCTCTCTCTCTCTCTGTGTGTGTGTGTCTCTCTCTCTCTCTCTCTGTCTCTCTCTGTGTCTCTCTGTCTCTCTCTCTCTCTGTCTCTGTCTCTCTCTCCATCTGTGATATGTGTACTCACATGTAGTGACTACATACCGGGAGTGCAATGGCCGACAGTGGAGGCTCTACAACACAATTCCTGTGACCTTCGCCACTGCCAGAGAGCAATGCGCTTTGGACGGGGGTTATCTCTCTTCAGTCAGGTGTGTGGTGTCTCTTGCATGTGCCCTGCATAGTATCTTTGGCTAACATCAGTTACATGTCAGTACAGGCTATACCAACCCAACATTAACCTACTAGTACTGTATTGTGATGATATGTAGCGAGTATATGTATGTTGGTAATGCTGCATGTTGCTGCGCATCTCAACCTGCTCACAGGTCCGACAATGACAGACAGTGTGCGCGCTCAGCTATCCCTCAAGACATACACAACGCCTCTCACCAGTACTGGATAGGCCTGGAGGACCTGGATCAAGATGGTAGCTACACCTGGCTCAGCGATAATACAACGGTAAGAGGAAGGGAACACTGAGTGTGTGGGTCAGTATTACAAAATACGGTAAACTTTGTGAATAAAAACCTCAGATATGACAGCCACTGCATGGCTAATAACGAGGCTATATTCAGATCAAGTTACGACTTGACAGCATACTTCTAACCCCACGCTTATGGTTGTGGTGGTGGCATCACGGACATGCGCTGGAACTGCGTTAATGGCACTTCAGTGACACCGCAGTATGATGTGCCAACAAGGAACGTAAAAATCAGTACTCTGCAGCCCGGCAAAGTACTCTTTATCCAATGCACTCTATATCTAAGGTCAAATAACTGGACAAGAGTACGCTCAAGAAAGTACATTATGTCCAGTGCAAAAAATATGGTTTATCTAATGTAAAAAGAAAAGTACATGTATGATAGATCCAGGGTACTTTGTACTGAGGTGTTACTGTATAAGATAATGTGCTGTGTCTGCTAAAACATGTCTTAGGGTGAAAAAAAGTATCCCGGAAAAATATCACTTTGCTCGCCAGCTGTTTGAACTAGACAGTCGAATAAGTGTGAGAACGAAGTTCCGACAAGATGCTCACGCCACCGGTTGATACATGAAGCACAGCGTGAACGTGCCCGACAGAAACAATTCTTCATTCCGTCATGTCTCAAAAGAATTACGAAATCTCAAAGACATGTTTTAGCTGACTGCAGCCCGTATAATATGCTGTGCCTGATACTGTTGCCTTCAGGAGCCCAGTGACTCTGACAACTGGAATCCGCTGCAGACGATAGTGAGCAGCCAGTGCGCCTACTACCGGGTCAACCAGGGCAATCGCTTGTCGTTTGACTGCAGCAACGACCGGTTTGGCTATCTCTGCACCAGGCCTAGTAAGCAGTGTGTGCAGTGGCTCTGCTTTAACCTTGAGCTCACTGCATCCTATCTAGTGTGTTCGCTTTTAAGCGAACACACTAGATAGGATGCAGTAAGCTCAAGGTTAAAAGCGGCCATCCGCCATTATCGATACTTCATGACACGAAAACAGTTTAGTTATGACCCTCCACCACTCACCCACCCCCATGAACGAAAAATATATTGACTTGACAGCTAGAATGGATTGATGTTTCAGCTATCAATATTCTTCATGACGAAAATCTCCTCGACACACTCACCCATAAACGAAACTTTTTTGTTTTGTGCAAAAGATTGATTATGACCCCTTAGTGTGGAGAAGCGTAATAAACAACTCATTAAACCAAAAATCCCAACTTTAGGTGCACGAACACTGTGTAAAACATTTTATACTCGCTCTGTGGATAGAGCTGCTTCGTCCTTGGTGGACACATCAGTGCAGCACAGAGAAAATGAGGCCAAACATTTTTGCACAAATATTTTGCTCATCCTGGATATCCAGGCCTAACATAGAGCAGTCCAGGGGTGCAGGCTGATTGGCTTATAGCCTGCCCAAAACCAGGTGATTAAGTAGCCAAACACTGCTACGTATGTTCTGCTGCAGGTGATACCAGGCATGTAGACTCTGGCCACACCATTAATGAATCACATAAATATTTCACTTGCTTTGGCTACTTTGAGTACACGGTTGTGGGAAAGAGATGCGATCACTTCATTCGCTAACGTTTCTGTGTTGTCCAGGACTGCTTCGTGACCATGTTGTAAAGCCTTTTGCGTCGGCGTTCTCCCGTAACAACTATCCTAGGGTGATCAACTTGTGCTTTTCTGTGTCCATCTACCTCTCCACTTCTCTAAGTACGAGTACTGTAAACCGCCCAATATTCGCGTCACTAAATTTTCGCGCTTTCTTAGAACCAGCGAGTTTGCGATGGCAAAAGTTCGCGACACGCTGGGACCACTTACATCCACCCACTGTTGAAGTTAGAATTCACGATGGTTAATATTCGCGTTACGCTCTTCTCGCGAAAATAGCGAACATTAATCCGTCGCGAATATTAGCCAGTTTACAGTATCGTATTTTCCGGGGGGGGGGGGGCAACACTAGAATGTAAGCCGCACCCAGGTTTTTTGCCCAAGAATACAGACATCTACCCTGTTTATCGCCAATAATTTCACCATCATACTATAAACCACATTGACTTTTTGGGGGGGGGGGGTTACTGGTGTTTAATGGGCGGCTTATACTCTGGAGAATGCAGCATATATTTTTTTCCTTTGTGGTTGTCTTCCTTTTCACATCACAGTTCCTCAGTTTTCACCCTGCGGTGGGTCGGAGTGGCGGTATTTCTCGTCGCAGTACACGTGGGACCACGCGCAGGCCGAGTGCGCGGAGCTCGGTGGCTACTCGGCGAACATACGCACGGAAACGGACCGCGAGTGCGGCCTTCAGTCCCTACCAGCGACCGTATCACAGTCCTCCAGTCTGATCATTGGTACGTTCTGTTGTTGTGTTTGACCTGCAAGCTACGCAGAAATCCCATTGTGGGACAAGACTAGGATTGGTTGCTGTACATTGGGCTTTCGCATGTATAATACAAATGATGGATCTTCAGTTGTCTTCAGTTGTCTGGCGCTAATCCTCGTGAAAGTGTCAGGAATACTGCTCTTTGTTGATGTTTTTGTTATGTTTCAGTCATCTCTTCACTTTCACCCTGTTTTTGACCGCTTCAGCTGAATTATATTAAAAATGTTATTCCACACGGATAGCGTGAGACTCTTGATCCATGCTGTTGCTTTAGCTGTATAAGGTGATGTATTTTGACATCTTTCCATTATTCCCTGTACTTACCCATGGTGAGAAGGGAGGAAAATGTTCGGTTACCAAATTGGCTTTAGTTGACTGTGTGGATTGCGTCGATGCTGACACTTCTTTCGAAATTGGATACGCCTCCTATTTTTCGTTAAATGATGAATCGTTAACATTATGGCATTGGGCGCACATCATGGCACATTTTCGTATACTACACAGCAGTGCACAGACTTGCAACCATCCAGCATGTTATTGATAGCATCCCTTTGACAATGGACATCACCAAGGGCTGCGGTGCTGTCTGTTGGGGCGCGTTCAGACTACCGATAAAAAGTGACCGATTGGGAAAGTCGCCAAGGTGATTTGATCACGTGACGTTACTGGCACGTTACCGGTGGGAAAGTTTTACTGCTGCGGCTGCTGCGGCAGTAAACTTTTACCGGCAGTAAAAAAGTGCTCAGGCTGCATGCACGCTGGGAAAAAAGGGAAAATCCCTTGTCAGTGCCGCGGTGAGAGCTGAAAACTTCACGGTAACGTTAGTTTGTTATCGGTAGTGTGAATGTCCTTCACGGTTTATCGGCATTCACGGTTTGACGGGGTTCACGGTAGTCTGAACGCGCCCTTATCTACAACCAGTGACACCGATTACTCCAGTCATGGAGCTCCAACGAGGCTGAGGCATTTTTCCGTCCTTCCAATCAACTGCTAGTGGCTAGCTGGGAGGCGGATTCCGGCTTAATTGTGTGAGGAGTCCCAGCGACCAGGTTGTGGAACTGTGCGTGGGAAATTCACCAAATTACTTCATAACTAACCCTAGTAGGGCAGCAGGGGAAGATCCCGTGTAGAGGGGGGGGGGGCAGGGCGTACTCGAGTCAGTCAGTGATGGTCAACATTTTTGTGCTGTTCCCAGTTCAAATTCCCGACTGGGTGCTACCCCTCTCTCTCCTGCTCTCTCTCTCTCTCTCTCTCTCTCTCTCTCTCTCTCTCTCTCTCTCTCTCTCTTTCTCTTTCTTTCTTTCTCTGCAGGTTTGTTTCGGAACACCACCAACAACTTCATACAGTGGATTAGCGACGGAGCCCTGCAGCCAGCTGACAGTCCGCTCTGGAGACCAGGTCAACCGTTTCCATCGCACTGCGGCATATGGACACCAAGTGTGGGCATCGGGCTGACAAACTGCCCTGGCTTTGCCCGACCCTACTTATGCCAGCGCAGTGCAACTAGCGTGACATCGCCATTGGCAGTGGTGAATGTAAGTACGGCTGCATCGAGTACAGCAGCTACATCACCAACGACTTCATCAATGCCAGATGATTCACCGGTGACATCAACAGTTCATACCTCAGCAGAGATGCAAACTACTGCTAACAGCAACCAGCAGCCCAGCACGGGTATGTCGGCAAGCACCCCTGTAGCCACGGATACCACTGAATCAAGCACAGCATCGTCCACAGGTGTCGTGCCAACTGCCGAGAGCACGTCCGGAGCGATGACAACACCGCAGGTGACCTCATCACCAATAACGTCATCACCAGTGACATCATCACCCGTGACATCATCACAAGCCACCCCGGGTACCCAGACCACTGATCATCAGACACCAACATCACAAAATCCCAGCACAGGCGGTAAGATTTGGATAGTTTTTGTTTTTAATGTATTTTTAGTTTGTTGCCTGAAAAGTACAATGTACAGCTCCGAAGAGGGGCGAACAGTGGCTTCCATCCAAGAATGACATCTTTGTTCTGCATGGTTCATTATTTTGAGGGAGAATGTGATGGGCAGCAATCTGTTCCCATCTCAATTCTGCAGATGTCCTTCTACGTGTACAGGTTTGCCCTTGTTCGGAGACAACTTGGGAGTTTTTCAACATTTTTGTCTTGTATCGAGTATTGTCTACTAACAGGATTTGCTTGAATATGTATCACTATTAAACACGTTTTGTCAGTGGATTTTGCATCGTTGTTCACTGCTGAGGTTTGTTTTGTGACCGTTGTCGTACTAGCGAGAGTAGACCTGTATCATGCTGTGGCATTATCACCGTCAATCAAGCAATGGTGCGGTGTGATCAGCAAGACTAAAGCAGGATTGAAAGACAAGGAGAATAGCTTGCCAAGCAACTGCACAAACAAAGCCAATCTTGACTAGCTTTCTAGATCGTGGTCACATTTTTAAAATTAATTCAACCTGAGGCAAACGTTTGTCATTCCAGACAAATAGCTCTATTTTGCGCGCTCGGTTTTCAAGTGTCGTTATTGTGCTGAGGTGCTATTTATGGCCTACCTCCTTCAGGATGTCGCATTGCTTTTGTCGCAATATAGGTAAAATCACTCCCTTTTTTAAGGAAGCTATTTTGCTACTTGGCCTTGTCCGTCTTCACTCCTCAGCGCCACCACCTTCCATTGTCCGCCTGTACCCGCCACCCGAGCAGTCAGCCACGTCACCAGTGCAGCGCTCGTACCTGATCGGATCTGGAGTCTTCCTCCTTTGCAGCTTCGAGTCGCCTCACTTTCTGAACATCGCCTGGAACACGACGGCGCCAGCTGGCATAATGCGACACGAGGTGCTGACAAACACGGATGCGCTGCGCGGCACCCGCTCAAGATGCAGCCTCGCAGCGTCGGGCAGTGGCGTTGTGGCAGAAGAATCAGCCACGCCGTACACGTTCAAGTCGCGTCTTCTCGTGGAGGGCATGACGGCGGAAATGGCCGGTCTCTATAGCTGCACTGCGAGAAATGAGTCCACCGCCATTCTGGACAGGATTGACTACTCACTAACCATAGCTGACAGCGTGACCAATGGTAAGCGATCTCGAGGAGCAGCACTCTTTCATTGTGCCTCATAGTATGGCAAAAACCTATCATTTCTCAAAATATGCTATTTACCCAGCATCCAGTCTCAAGTCTAGGTCTTTCACTTGTGCACAGATTTATTATTGGTTCACTGCAAAATGTACTTCTTTCACAATCAAGACATGATGGGTACACCTGAGCCACGTTGGGTTTATTGATTGGGGGGGGGGGGGGAGTGCCCAGAAAATTTGATGTGGAACAGATCGTTTCGTATCCTGGCCCACTATAGCTTGTGAAACCTTTCTTTGCACCCCCACCATGGTCCAAAAACAACTTGGGTCCAAAAAGAACTTCATGAAAGATTTTCCCGGAAAACAAGGGCATTCAGATAGACAACAGGGTTGAGTGGAATGTGAAATTATGTGATCTTGCTCCAACCCAAGCTGCCCGCTCCAGTCACTGTTGGGCAGGCTCTGGAGCAATGCATCCATGCTCGCACTCGGCATCGCTGGTAGAACTTGGAAATCGGGGATCGAAATAAATGTATCGTTTCGGGTTCTATAACCTCGTACTACCTCCCCAGATGCTATAACTCCCTGGCCACCTGCACCTTTGACAGATTGTCATTATAGGTGTGGATTATGTGCCTGCTGGGAATCTCTTGAATGGATTAGAAATTTCCATTTTTCAATAGCTGGCGCTTTTGGAGTGGAGCGCGCTTACAAATTCTCACGTAGTACTAATTGTAACATATTGCATGTGTTCCTGTGCGATCGAGCCTCTCTATTGCAAAGTCTGTAGTCTCTGCCCTCTGGTTACATAATGCTGTTGTATCTGTGACGCTCTATGTTTGTTCAGGTTGACATCTAGTTGTGCAATCATCTCACAGCCCTTGTCAAGCTGTCCAAGTGATCGTGATCCACTCGCACATACCTAGGCTAGGCGCAGTGCCAACTTATAGACGTCAAGGGCAGTTGAGGTTGCAACTCAGATTTCGTCCAGGGTACGTCTCATCCAAGGCTATCTGAATACCAGCAGCTCTCTTTCTCTGTCTCTGTCTCTGTCTTTCTTTGTCTGCCAAACTGCCTCCTGTCTGTCTCTCTCCCTCTTCTTCCCTGTCACCTCTCTCTATCTCTCTCGCGTACACTCTCTCTCTTTCTCTGAAGGACGTATTGGTAAACACCACATGCATTGACTGCATGAACCCAGGCATCACCAGTCTGCCGGCCCTAGGTATAGCCACTCAACCCAGGTTACAGTTATAGCTGCGGGCAATGCAATGCCACCCAGTATGCTAGCCAACTCCGCTGCCACGTCATTTAGTATCATACCCAGCTGACCACCTGTGGAAGAATTGCCAATTGTCTGCCATAACTGACTAATGCTAACTACTTGGTTTTGTTAAAATATTTTCATTGATGTCCATGAGACCTCTTCAACAATACGCTCCAATTCCAGCCTGAGTGTCAACATAATAAAAGGACTATCCAGTCCCCGATATGATTCTAACAAGGGATGCTTGTGCGTGCTCAGTCCACGAGACTCAATGATAATCTTAACAAGATCTATGTGCATGCTGCAACCATGTTTTGCCATAATTGTACTGATGCTCACTACTTCTCTATGAAACTAACACCAACTTTAAAACTATCATGCAAGCTGTGCATGCTGCCCTGCAATGGAGCAATGGATTTCTTATTCTCACTTTTGCCAGTGTCAAGTCTGGCAACTAATTAGCTGCAGCATTGTATCTTTTAAAATTTAACAACGACTAGAATATCATCGTACAATTGCCATACTCAAAGAAGATATTTACTGAGCATGTACTTCAAGTATTAACATGAATAAAACTGAGATTTGTGTACTTTATTCATGCAATGTAAAAAACGGTGGAGACGATGTGCAATAAAACGATGAAAATATGAAGAAATGGTGTAGGGAAAAAATATGGATTCAAACAAGTTTTCGTATAACACTCATCAGGAATCGTCGTTGTACTAAAGGACACTGAAACAAAAATTGAACTATTATAGAAAATCTAAGTTAGAGAAATAACACTAAGAGCAACAACAGTGAAATTTACAAGTGTGAATTTTAACAATCAAAGCGAGAACTGAACAAAGGAGAAAGGAAGGAAAGACAACGTGATAACACATAACAGCAGTACATTACACCTAGAACATTAACGGCCAAGCTTGGACGCACTAAACACGACACGTTACTTGAACAATTTCAACCCAATTATACTATCTTTCTGTACACACAAATTGTCGGTTCAGCTAGTTTTATTGATTGCGGTTATAAAATTGTTGTCTCCTCGCCGTGTGTTTAAATAAAACTGAGCTCACTTTTTAATAAAGCATAATAATCTCATTATAATATCATTACAACGAACGATGATAATAATCTTTGTCTTGTAGATTAATGCCTTGCAAGCCTGGTGATTGATTAAATTCCTTAATTCATATATGCCATGCAGCGCCGTTAATACCGATAGCACAATTCAGCCTCTACCCTAAGGTGTGTGGCGACAGTAAGAGTGCCATGGGCCCTGAGCAGCCTGAACCACATTGTAAAGATATGAATATGACGTGTGTATGACTCTACCGGGTGGCTCGGTTCGAGAGGTGCGGCAATAACCATGTGCATGTACAGTCCTTTTTTCTTTTCAATTTCCATCAATCACCACACCATAGCTTTGCTCTCCAGTCGACCTCGACAATGTTGCCACAGCGCAACACCAGCAATTATGGTGTGGTGGTTGATAACAATCTGTAGAGGGCCGAATGCTGCTGCGGCTTATTTATTTTATTTATTTATTTATCGTCTCCACTTCATGGCACATAATAGTACATTACCCATCCCTTCATGTACAGTCCTGGGCAGAGATATCCAGCCTCAGTTTTATATATTGGTGGCTACTCGGCCCTAGCACCACACACAACGCTCTGCATACTTGAGTGCAATGCTACTTTATTCACAAGGTCGGGTTTCTCTACCCAGAACTGTAGTAACAGACACATGCAGCTCTAGGTATAAGAATGCATCATACATGTACATAAGCTCGTGTGAAATATTCATGGAGTATAGAAGTAAAAAGCCAAAATTGGCCATTGTGACGTTGACAATCATGACACGCATGATACAGATTCACAATACCGGCCACCTTCCTCAACCGGGCGCAGGCTGCTGGCAGGTATGTGCAATCTTGAGATGTCTTCCTTTTTCAATACCCTAACCCTCATCGTAATGTTTTTAAGTCGGCGTAGAAGTGCAAGCTCCGGCGTGGGGAGCAAATGCTTTCCTATAAAATTGCCGCCCACGTCGCAACCACTAATCCACAATATTGTTGCTTGACGATTCTGCGATGCGGGTACTCTTCGATCCCGAGGTGCCTGGCTGAGCGAAGCTCTACTGTGCATCAAGATGCTTGTCGGCCATGCTGTATGTTGTATGATAATAGTCAGGAAACCCCCTTGACAGGCAAATAGCCTTTGGGGAATCCTTAAATAAATAAATACAAATACAATACACAAATAATAATATGACTGGATGACTACTGTGTATACCTGCCGCCAATGCACACTCGCACCGTCATGCCTAGTCGAATGCAACAGTCTAATTGGTACTTGTAGTTGTACTAGATCAGTCAGTCAGGGTGCTCTACAAGATATACGGTATTCAGGGGCCGATCTTTTACTACCATCTGTCTGAAATAAGCGCCTCATCATTTCAGGGCGTCTGTGCGGACATTTTTTTTCAAATTGACTGAAATTTTAGGCCCCACAATCTCCCGAGCACCCCGGGCAGTATTGCCGAAATACGGAATGCATGTTTGTTGTTTTGCTGCAGGGCCACACGTTTCTGTTACTGGACATCAAGGACTTGGTAGTGGAACAACTGGAGCTGCCGCAGCATCCAACGCTGAACCTGACAGAATCTGGAGCATAGCTGTGATCTGTGTCTGCTCAGTCACACTAGGCGCTCTACTGCTTGCTCTGGCGTGCACCCTTTGGAAACGATCACGGCGCAAGTGTGAGTCAAGCACACGCAGGCACACGCATGCACCTGTACACACACACACAAACATACATACCCCCCCCCCCCACACACACACACACACGCCGCATGCATGCCCACACAAACTGCTACCAGGTCACAAAATGGCCAACCAGTATTTCCTCTTTTCAAAATACTCGTGGTACATGAAAGTTTTTAAAATGGGGTTGCAGTTTACACTCCAGTGCGGCTTATGCTCCGGAAAATATGGACAATACGGCATTAAATACCGTATTTTCCGGAGTATAAGCCGCACTGGAGTGTAAACCGCAACGCCACTTTTTTGCCACGAAATACAGACATCTACCATATTCATAACCATCAATTTGATCATCGGGGCATACTAGTAAGCCGCACCTATTTTTTGTTGGGTGAATTTTGAGTGTTCAAAGTGCGACTTATACTCCGGAAAATACGGTGCTATCCCCATTTCTGGCGAAACCCTATTACAAAGGAGAGCCACAAGCATGCGTAGGTGAATGCAATGATGTGTGTTTCAGCTATACCGCTCGTGTGTGCACCTGGCATTTGGATACTTGGGCAACATGAAACATGACTACATGTTCATCAAGTGAATGGTTTCATGCCACCGCACATACAGCATCATGTGAGGGCCTTACAAGTAGTTGAACTTGATTGCCAACAAAAATAAGAACTTACCCCAGGGTGACCAGTGTTACGTAACTAACCGTATACTTGTCATTATCCAAGTCTGAGCGACTGAAAAAGGAGAAAGTCTGAAGAAAAAATGACGATCACCACCAGGACTTGAACCAGGGACTCCGCTGTAGCCCAGTGATGCTGCAACTACTGAGCTATGGTGCAGCATATTAGATTCCTCTTCTTTTATAATTTTTTTTCTGTGGCTTATTCTCCACAGCTGTAGGAGCATATGTTTGGGTATGTATGGTTTGTGCTGCTGTGAAGCAAGTGAAAAAGAAACGATCGGCTTTTGATTGGCTGTACGCGTTTGACGCCACGCTGAAACGGAGTGATTTCCTAGCAACTACCGTCAACCAATATTCACTGCGTTCATTATTTGCTTTCCTGTTACGCGTGATTGTATCCCTGTGTGTTTTCAGCTACAGGTAAAAGGCCGGAGAAGTGGCATCACTCGCCACACAGCCAGCCTCCAAACAGCTTGCAGCTCAACCCATTGTACAACCGTAAGAGTGATAGCACAGCACAGCACGGACCGAAACACCTCTTGGTGGACGCAGCAGCATGCAGCTCTCCTCTGAGCCCGCAGAGCAACACCACATTCAGTGTGTCCTCGTCATCTACCCTTCTTTCCCCCATGGAATCAACAGGCGCGAAACCGAAGCCCCGTGTCAGCCGCCGACCCGATTGGACATTGACTTCGTCGAGTAGCTCTGCTGGATCTTCACGGCATAGCCCGGAATCTCCGCGTGCAGAGCTTGGACCAGCAGGTGCTCCGCGGAGTTTTGCTCAAGCCAACCAAGCCTTCCCCAGCCCTCCTGCCTGTAGTACAAGTACATTCATATTCCCTGTGCAAACGAGCATGGACACGCGAGAAAGCGCCATCGCCAGCAATGCTGTCATCTACGCGAATGCGCAAGTTGATGGGAGCACGGACGTTGCTGCACTTGGAGCAGATCCAAGTTGCGTAACGCCGAGAAGTAGTCCCGGGGAAGAGCTAGAAACAAACACAAACTTTCATGAAGTTGTTTCCGTAGCTGCAGAGTCCTCTCGGCCCAACGGACAGTCCGAGCTCGTAACCTCTAGACTGCAGAACAATTCCAGTGCCAACATGCTGCTGCAGAACGCTACCACCTCCACCACCACCGGGTTGGCTATTGGAAAAGCTGGCACGTTGGAGAATCTAGTTGTCCACCATGATAGCAGTCTGTGTGGGGCAGACATGAATGTACTGCCAGCAGCCGCGGATGAGTGTGGCATGGGAACAGCGCAGATACCGCAGCAGGTCAGCGATCAGTATCCGATGTCCGATGGTACGTATCGCCAGGATGTCCTTGCTCTTCGGGAGGATGCTGCACCGACCACCGGCGCACCGTTACCTGTGCCGGCTACCCAGCAATCCCAGCGGCATGCGAACGCCATGTACATTCAGGTCAGCTAAGTACACACATACCGACGTTTGTAGTGCTTTTAATCTCTTGTACTTCTGTTTGTCATCCCCTCTTCATTCACTTTTCTACAGTGGTGCCATTGTCATTACAAAGGCGCTACTATGTACTACGTACAGCCTCCTTTGCCACCTGCATGGAAATCGGTTGCATACTGCATTAACCCAAAATGCACGCAGCACACGAAATATTGTACAGTGAGCCAATGTAACGAGAGAGCTTGGAAGGTCAGGGCCCTACGCTATGCATTTTTGCCTAGGTAGCTGCTCATCATGCATGTTATTCTTACTGATGGAATTTTTTTCCATTAATTGGCTACATCAAACTTTCTCTTTGCATTCGAGGGTAAAACGACGCCGTCTACCACCTTGATGACCTAGGCAAAAAAAGCATAGAGATGTTATAAATGTCTCCTATTTTTTCTCAAGACGTAACCTGGGATTCGAACCCGCACTATCGTCCTGCATGCATCCCCCGATACACTTCGCGTACATACTCATTCTTCCAAGTTGCTTCAAGTTATGATCTTGCATTTGAAAGCCCTATTTAAATATTGTGGCGATGGCCATGCCAGCTGTCTTTGATGGTACGGCACGGGATAGTGCCAGGCATGCCGACGGCACAAACAAACAGACGCACATCTTGATGGTACGGTACGGGATAGCGCCATGGCCATGCCAGCTGTCTTTGATGGTACGGTACGGGACAGGTACGGGATAGTGCCAGGCATGCCGATGGCACAAACAAACGGACACACACCTTGATGGTACGGTACGGGACAGGTACGGGATAGCGCGAGGCATGCCGATGGCACAAACAAACAAATAAATAAACACCACATTGAAGCTGTGTGGACCCTGGCTAGCGCCAGATGTTACTGAAGTAACGTCTTTTGCATAGCTACGGGAATTAATTGTCCAAATTAGCCGCATTGCTAATGCTCAGAAGGGTAGAAGTTTTAGAACTATCCGGATTCACTTAATTAATCACCAACAGAATATAGATTCCGACTTCACTGATTTCCCACTTGACACTGGTAATGACAGACACGCATGCATCCACCACCTTTCTGCCTTTCTCCACAACTTCATAGTCAGCGGTGGGGCCTAGGTGGCCTGAACAAGCAAGCTTTACTCAGCTCTTCACCTAGTTACGGCACATTGCACCGAGCAGTGTCATGCAAGGGTTGGCAAAGAGCCTGATTTGAATCATGTGCTGTACCACCTGTTGTCCCCCTTGCTGATTCGCTCCTGGAGATCCCAATACCTTAGGGAATTAAAAAAAAGAAACAATGACATGATCACATTGAACGCTTGTCACTCAAAAGCTTGCATTGCAATCAAGCCTTTTCAAGAGATGGGTCAAAATTCCCATCGCTTTTAGTCGTATACATTTACACGACGGCAAGTATCTCTTTTTATAAGAACGTTACAGCGAATGCTCACACTTCAATCCCGATCACTTTCGGGTGGTTTGTAGCACCAAGCACATCTTAAATTGTTATCTTGAATTCTCTTGTTCACATTCACCAAACGAACAGCAGAAAACGAAGCGGTGCTAGTAAAATTCCTAGACAACGTTAAGTCAGCAATGAGTGAAAAGAAAAGATAATCTCAACCCCCTATGGAGAGTAATGGCCGCCAGAGGCTACGCTGCAGTTTCACAGGCAAATCTCAATGCAGCACGACAGAGCTATTGGCTTTCTTAAAGCTGCGTCCTAGTGCACACTGCTGACGCGTGTGTAGAGAAGCGGTGCCGTGAGTGCGGTGCCGTGAGTGACATGCAACTCGTACCAGCACGCTACTGTTACACTCGCCACATTCACGACTCGTTACGGGTACAGATTTCGAAGCACGCGTGGCCGGTTCACATCCATTGCACGCACACAAGTCGCTGGTGGCTGTCTGTTTGCGTCCTTGGCATCCCCTCGATCCTATTCGGCGTTCTCCACCAGCGAGACATCTTCAGTTGATTTGTCCAAGTCCAGTTTTGAATTGTCGTGATCCAGCTCATGAGCGGCCTCAAGCTCATGCTCGACTTCCTCTATCTGAACAACCTCCTGCAGTGCGCACACCGAAATAAAAGGGAAATTCCATGATTCGTAATTAGCAATTACCTAACTCAAAAGATGACATCACTACATGCAACCCTTCTTGACTGCATTTTCTCCGTATACTGCACACCAGCCGTGCTCCAGTACATGAGCAAACAAAGAGGAAAAACAAGTTTTATTCCAGCCAACAGTAGAGAGGAGAGAGGGAATGTATGTTGTAGGCACACCTTCTCTCTCTCTCTCTCTCTCTCTCTCTCTTTTCACTCTCTCTCCCTCTCTCTCTTTCCCTCTCTCTCTCTCTCTCTCTCTCTCTCTCTCTCTCTTTTCACTCTCTCTCCCTCTCTCCCTCTTTCTCTCTCTCTCTCTCTCTCTCTCTCTCTCTCTCTCTCTCTCTCTCTCTCTCTCTCTCTCTCTCTCTCTCTCTCTCTCTCTCTCTCTCTCTTCTATATTGTGTGAGCACGTTCTGCCTGTCTGTCAGCATTTACAAGTCTTTGAGCAAAGGGGCAACCATCAAGTCCTGCATGCGGCAGTAGAATTCTGATTGTCAACTCACCGAGACTTTTTTCAGCTGCATGGAGCTCTCCTCGACCTCCACAACTGCTGCAGACGTCACCATTGCTAGCACAATTAGAGAGGATGCAAAAGAACCAAACACAAGGCACACATGCTTGAGGCTTGGGGTGGTGATAACGTCATCTTTGGAGGTGCTTCGCATGATAACATCCATACCGAAGTGCTTCGCATGAATACGTCATCATTGATGGGCTTTGAATGATTTCGCCATCGGTGACAGTGAGGTGCTTTGCATGACTATGTCATCATTGAGGCGCTCTGTATGGAGTGGCATCACAAGCACTGCAAGACTGGTTCGCCACTCCATACAAAGTATGTATACGACGATGTCATTCACACGCATTCTAACCTCTACAGCATACAGGCATGTAGCTTTAACTCGCCAAACAAACGCTGTCATGCACAAGGACAGTTTCGCTCAATAACATCTGATCAAGCGAGTCAATGCCAGTAGTGCCCAACCAACTGGGTCTGTTTTGCGTACAGTGACTTCTGATTTTGCAGTGTTTTCCGTACTACCAATGTACTGACGTGTGCATCGCTTGTATTGTGCTTTTTTGACACTCGCACGCTTGTCGGTGGCTGAACTTGGTGGTGCAAAACATGTGTGACTTGTACCACAACATGATATTTTGTGCCACATGTAGTCGAAGCACGGCATGCACTCGCTTTGGCACAGGGATATTCATCGCTCAGTTGGCGCTTGCCATGCGTCTACATACATATCTGTAGCTGATCGATCCTCTTCAATTTTCCGTACCATTTTGCTCAAATTCCGTACTGCGGACGGAGGAGTGATTTTCCGTACAAATACGGAAAAATACGTAAGGTTGGCAGAACTGCAATGCCACGTTGCCGGGCACTGCACAGCAATGCCACGTTGCCGGGCGCTGCACAGCAATGCCACGTTGCCGGGCACTGCACAGCAATGCCACGTTGCCGGGCGCTGCACAGCATCAGATCTGTGAACACTGGGCTGTGCGTTGGTGCAGTTCTCAAACTTCACTTACATCGACCGGATTTCATTGAGCAGCATCATGTGCACTCACTGCACTCGAATACCCCCCCCCCCCTTTCCATCCACACACGCACGCACACGCACACATGCATGTACACACGGACGCACGCACGCGCACGCACACACACACACACATGCACGTGCATGCGCACACACACACGCACACACACACAGTGACACACACACGCACGCATGCACGCGCACACACACACACACACATGCGCACACACACACACACACCCACACACACATATACACACACACACACTCACACGCGTGCACACACACACACAGAAACACAAGTACAGAACACTCACTTGGCATAGTAAAGCTGAAGTCGTAATCGTCATCGTCATCCTCCTCCTCATCCTCCTCTTCTTCCTCTTTCTCCTTTTCATCCTCCCTGGGCTCGTCTTCTATTTCAGGTTCGGGTTCAGGTTCAGGACTGGGAACTGGCTCTGGTTCCTGAGCTGCTTCAGTGTTCTCAATCACTTCCAGCTCGGCCGTTGGCTCCTCAACCTCTTCACGCTGACTGTCCTCGGTCACTTCCGGCGAGTTGCCGTGTATTTCGATTTCAAAAGCTTCGCCGACTGTTGTCGTTACCTGCACCGCCTCGTCATCCGAAGGCTCATTCTCATCGCCAACGTCTGCCCGGGCATGCCTGTCATCCGTTGCGCCTGATTCAATGTGTCCGTTGGGTGGCGCAGAGCTGCAAGACACGTTCAATATTACGAGAAGAGACACAGCGGACACACACAGCACACAAACTTGCCCTATACCGTATATTCTCTATGCTGCATGCATGGTATCTAGCATGTATTTCTTCTTGCTCTGTACGGATGTATTGGTTGAAAAAATTATAGGCACGTTCTCCAATATAAGCGCGGCCTCCTTTTATAAGCACGGGTAGAGGGGTGTTGAAAAATACAAGCACGGCGCTTATAAAAGAGAATATATGGTACATCTGCGCTAGAGGCTGTACCTGCCACCTTGGTACAACCAGACATAGTGGCAGTCTGACAGCAGGAAAACGCCCTAAGCTGGCTGTGTTTCTCAGCACAATTGTATAGCCGGTGGTAACGCGGATGTGTGAACTTTCCTGTTATTTTTACACCCAAACTTGCATGTGCGTGATGTTTAGTACTTCAAGTACAATCTCCCATCCGGGCAGCTTGGGACCACCGGGTAACCGTATCCCAACAAATACATTACAGCCAAAATGGATGCGAAATATCTTTCTCTTCCAATAGGCTCACTTAACCAAGATCGATGCCAAAGTATTGAACAGAAACACTAGTCACAAAGATTGGAGGACTTTCACCCATCTTTGACTTGGTAACAGGACCAACCTACAATGTCTCTACTGAACCATTGCGAGTGCGGTACTGGCAATGGCAGTAATGCCTCAATGGGAAGCCGCCAACGTGATAGAGACACTCATGGCCATGTTCCTGTCTAACATGCACTGTTGTCGCAGGGCATTACACAACTACAGTACACATGCTTGTAGACATTTTGTTGTGCCAAGGGGAAGAACACCAATGGCTGGATTCCTGGCTAGAAATTGAAACAATTCTTCAGGTTGGGACCAGGCACATATTTAGGAATTGCCCATATCTTAGAACACAAAATACATACTTCAATAGTCCGCACGTCGTTTTATGCCTATCAATATTTTTCGGGCCATTTTCCATTGAAAAGCCTGGCTATTGACTCTTTATGGGTAAGAAAGTAATTAGTTGATCCCCCACCCCCACCTCTGAAGAAAGGGAAGTGCCCCTGTTGGGTGAGGATCAGGCACGGCTGTTTTTTTTGGCGAAATTTGGACATTTAACAAGATGGCAGCCAAAAGTCTCGATTGGGCTGGATCGGCAAGGAAATTTGAATTTTCAAATTCTCAGCAGCCGATTTCGCTGTGGTTTTCGCTCGATTTAGAAAGCTACCAGGCCAGGTTTACCCGGAAAACAGGTATTCCGTGTTCCTCTTGAAACTAGCTTTCCGCTGGTACCTCACATGGCCAACTTCGTCTCAGGAACAGTTTGTTCCGCGTTGCACAAGTCAAGCCTTCTTTCTCGCTCGTTCCTTGATTCATCATTGACATGCCTGCGTCAAGAAGACCTTTCAGGAGTTTTCCCAGTCTAGCTTTCAGTTTTCCCAGGTAGAGGACTATCTTCTGGCTATCTTCACCAAGTTTTATCACGTCCCGTGCACAAACTTCAGGTCCCGTGCGTTCGATGCTGAGCTACCTTTTCATGCGATTTAGGGGACAGATGGCATGGCGCTGGAGTCGCTGTTGAGTCCAGGAGGCCGAGACCTGGTGGAAACTGCCCAGTAGACATGTGGGGTATTGCTGAAAAAGGCAGCAAGCACACAGATAGCCCCGAAATTGTGATGTAGATCCAATTGTGCGTTTGTTCGAGTGCATATCGGCAAATTTGAAAGTTGCACCCGTGATCCCGGCGAGGAGAAGCTGAAAATCAGTGCGCGCGTCAATATCCAGACTACCAGGGACAGCTTGGAGAGGTTCGAAAAGGTCAGGATGCTGGTTGACCACGGCAGGAGTTCCTTTTACCTTCCTTCTCTCTCAAATTGTCTGGATATTGAGTATCTCGCTCGAGCGCTTCCAAATAGTAAATCCTGGTTTGACTTGCGAAATCGTGGAACCACACGGAGAGTGACATGAGTTTCATCCCAAAACGCAAACTCCCATCGTATTCATGAGGTTTGCACCGCGTTACGTAAATCGCACCGAACGACTCCATATTGTTAGATGTCCGTGCGCGAACAGCCGTGCAGGGGAGTTTAACTGCACCATGAATTATCAACAAGAGCACTAAGGTAGAAGTGCAGTGCTGAATCAAGGCTCAAGTGCTGATGGCTGCCTGGTTCATAGTCCTTTGTTCAGCCTGGCCTGGTGAAACTGACCAGGTTCTATTGTTTACAATCCACACATTGTTTATACTTTATAGCCTTTATGCCTTATTCATTATGGATTTGATCAGCATGATTACTGGTGCTAGCACTTTACTAGTCCTGATTCTGTTGGTCACGGGGGATTTATACATTTACATAGTCATTTACTGTAATGGTACCGGTCTGCTTGAGCGCAGCTTTCCACTGCCGCATGCCCGCTGTGCTGTTTATACCCATGTACAATCATGTACCGTAGTTGTCGGGTAAAATAATAAGAAAACATTGAAAGCTAACACGTGCCACCCGGTGCTGGTGTGTTTTAGTGCTGGTGTACTCATCACCGGCTGCACCGGAGCGATTGGAATGGACACGATTTCCAACTCTCGGATGCCACCTGTCCTGCTAAGCGCTAGTAGTACAAGCGGCGTGTAGTACAACATTTAGTACACCCGTCGAAGTAAATCGTGAAGAAGAAGAAGAAAGCAAGAGCCCTGAAAGGCTGTAGTGTGGACGGTGTCGGTTTCTGCGAGACCATGCACACACTACGCTGCTACTTTCGAGTTGGACAGCTGCCTTGACTCGATACATTTACATTGCAGTATTCGGAGAACAAGAAAAACTTCAAAAAGCACCCCGCCTATCTGCGATCGAAGCCCTCACGAACGCTACTTCACATGCTGGTAGTGAAAATGCACCTTGCCAGCGCCGCCCAAGGCAGGACTGTGCAGCTCTATAGGTCGATCTGGGCGCTCACGAATAATCATCCCAGCCACAAAAAGGGAACTGCACAAGACGATGCAGTTCTAAGTATCAAGCGAACGGAAAACGGACACACACACGTGCTTTGAGTTTGACAGCTTTTGGTTTCTTCTTACACTAAGTCTTACAGATCATAATCCTGAAGCTGCTCGACTTCCGGCGCTGACTTATCCGGCGCAAGAGCTTCCCTTGCCGATTCCTCCTCCTTCGGCAAACGTCGCACCGAGACTTTGTTCAGGGCTGTCCGCTTCAGACTGTTGCGCTCGCCCCTGCCGACCCGTCGACGACGCCGACCACGCTGCCGACCACAGCAGCAGACGCAGCAGCAGTCGCAGCATGCGTCCATGCACGATACGCAACAACCCATGTCCGGTTGCAGTAGCAGAACGCCGGCAAGACCAGGGCCGCCGCCAATTTCGGGAATGGCGAGCAGCGGTCGACACAGCGACAAACACTTGCTCGCTGTGTAGCGGATTGATGTGCTGACTGGCATTCAGATGGTATGCGTTGATGATCTATTGCAGATTTTGAACGCTGAGTGTTGTAGCTGCAGGTGCAGCGGTGCAGCGGCGTGGAGTAGAGTCTACACCGGAACAGAACCACCAGCGTAAAATCACCGGACACTGGGGATATCGCTGTACTGCTAGACTGTGAATGAGCCCCTCATGTGAAGATTACTATGATTAGTTGATGACAGACTGCACTAGCACTCGACGCTAGCTCTCTTCTAAACCTGACTGCAGTGCACGCGTTGCTGTGTAGAATCTACATGTGTCGAGTAGATCTACTGCGTCTTCACGGAGTGGATCAGCCTGAGGCTGAGCTTAGCAGTGCCCAGGCCTGGATTTCACTTGAATAGTTTGTGTTGAGTCTCTTGACTTGCAAAGCAGATAGAATACGCTCAGCAGCCCCTCTCTTCTCTTAGTCTTACTCCGCTGGGTGAGCTCCAGGAATATTTCTGGGAGCTGCTGACAGCGAAAGGTCGAACGAGCAAATGAAGCAAAAAATCCACGTGAACTGGGTCTTTCCGGCGTTGACGCGATCGTAGATCTACGCCTATGGAGTCTTTACTCATTCATCGACCTGCCGCCGGCTGGCCTCGCTCACTTGATCCGAGGCAGGAGTTAGCACGGTTTGAGCTACACTCCTCCGGCCCTCGCCCTGTGCAGGTGCACACTTGATCGGATCCGGTGATACCGACTGTACCGTGCCATCTGGCTAGGCCGGATAGAGTTAGCTAGCTGTCAGCAGTGGGATCTGGCCCAGGCCACGCATTCTCAAGGCTGGACTGGGTAGGCCTAAGGCCAAAGGGGACTACTAGTACTACTACTAGTACTACTACTATGGCCCAGGAGACCGGAGTCGGAGATCCAGACCATGATACAGGCTGCTGTACTGAGTGTGATACATGTACTGAGAACGCTCGCAGATCCACAGACTACAGACAGTGACTGAGTCAGTCGCACTACTATCGCACAGTACAGCCAAGGTCAGTCGCAACAATCAAAACTGTTACTTCTGTTCATTGTTATTATAACCATGCATAGTGCACAGTATCACTATCTGACTCCTCCAGTGCAGCAGCCTGCCTTCAGGCATACACACATAAAAACAACAATTGATAATCCGCCACAATGATAGCAGACTTCGCAAAGTAATCTTAGTTTTGGCATCCCTTACATACTTCATTTGACAGTGTGAGTCTATGTAAGCAGCTTACAGGAGTAAGCCCCCCCCCCCCCACACACACACGTACACACCTACACAATTATACATGTATGATGTACCCCTACACACACGCGCGCACACACACACACACACACACAACACACACAGCCACACACACACACACACACACACACACACACACACACACACACACACACACACACACACACACACACAGCCACACACACACACAAAGTAGGGGGTATACATGTATCAAGAACAGGCCACTGCTGGTTTGTTTACAACTTCTCTGCAGTGCTGCATGCCACAACTTGCCACAAGTCATCAGGCAGGCTGAGGGCAGTGAGGCACTTGTGCAAAAGGGATGCCTAATCACAGCCATTCTGATCCTTTCTTGTCCAAATCAGACAGCTGTTGTCATCCTCAACCCATAATGAGCCCCTTTAAAAGTCAACTCCCATTCAAAGGGTGTTGGTACAACTACCAGTTATCTTTTCAGTAAACAACACTCTAACATTGCACCCCGCCATAGCAGTTCAGCTCTGCATTACGAACAGTCATCTTTGTCAGCAGCAGCGGGAAATTGACGCGACTCTCCTCTCCCTATGCTTTGGAGAGAAGGGCTGTAAAGAATATTCGACCATTCGAATTTATTCGATCTGACAGTGCCCCAAGAGTATTTCAACTGGGATTTTTCGATTTGAAGGCTCGAAAGAACAGTAGACTTTGCTGCATCACCATGCTAGGACATGCCGTACTCAGTTGTGCTGTACTCATATCACGAAAATGCTGAGTTTTTCTAGCGCTTCTTTGAGGGTAATGCCACCCCAATTAGCAGTGGTGAGGGTTGAATGTTTGGAATATTGGCCTTCTCTTGTAAACGTGAGGTTGCAGGCTCAATTCCGAGTGTGTGGATATTTTGAATTATTGGGAGACCCATCTGGGATTGAGTGTCCGACTTTGGTTAGGGTATGGTATGGTTGTGATAGCTATCGTTTTATTTTATTATAATTCATCAAATGGCCAGACAGTATTGTGAATAGGTGACACGAAGACAATATTAATTTTATTGCTATAATTATTAATTAGACAACAATGCAGGGTTATTTCTAGCCAGGAAAATATTTTAGGGGGTGGGGTAAGGGAAACAAACTGTTCACCTATTTTTCCATGTTCCACTATTGACCTCTACCAAAAACAATGCACTGTACGGGTTCACAGAGCACCCGGATCGATCGATTTGTCACCGCATGCTCGCTGTAGGAACTGAAAAAGCACATAGGTTGAAAAATTAGTGGAAGACCGAGGCGCCTCTGAGCCGAGATCTTTGACGGGGTCTAAACTTGGCCTGTGTTTAAAAGCATTTGCCGGAGGTTTGTTAACGCATGCTAAAAACATACGTGCACTCGGTAGCATCAGCCTTTCACTGTTGACACTGAGCACACTCTACTAGTAGCGGGCACATTCATGAACTTCTTGCGTGAGTCCGCCATCCACCGCACAGCATCTGCCTTTTGCGCCGGGTTGCTATACTTGGTTGAGTGAACAAAGGCGTTCTCCACCTTCCACAGGCGACGTGCTTTATCCGCCTTCTGAGAGAAAGGTCCCCAAATGTACAGGCCGTTCTGGAAGGTTTCTATGTCTGAGTTGACACTGCCAACCATCACACGCAGCATTGTTGGAATTGCAATCTCAAAGAACACGTGTCGGTATACGTACGACAGCTCCATGAAGACGGGAACCAGCCGGCGGGGTACATAGCCGATGTCAGATCCACCCTTGACCATGCAGTCGCGGCACGCTAGGCGCGACAAGAAGCGATCCTTGTACTTCATGGGCGTGCAACGGTAACTCTCCTTTGCAGCTGCCCTTCCCCAAGGCTTCCCCCAGTGGGTGTATGGAACTTTGCTAGCTTCCTTCGTCAGATTTAGAGAAAGCACAGGCTGCTCATATGGATAAGTCCACACATTCGAGAAGTTTCTCCGTGAAAACACAGCTGGGTAATTGAAAAAGATATCATCTGCAATCCACAGGTAACCATCGAAATCTGGGTAGCATCTCATGGCGTCCGATATGGCTACGTGCTGAAAGGCACCTTCTGAGAGTCCAACACGATGGACTCCAAGATTGTGCGATTCTCTTCATCTGAATAATACACAATCTTAGTTACAGCTTCGCCGTAGAGCTTGTGAATAAACGGAACATGCTGGAGATTCGGCCAGTTAAATATAACAATTAACAGCAGTCGTGTACAAGACTTGTTCCTGCCGCTTGCACCTGAACGAGTGTTCTCAGGAGATTCATGATAGAAGCTAGTCGATGGAGTGCGGCTGTTCTGCCCTTGAGTCGTAGATCTACCCAGGATCGTTTGTAAGTCCAATGTTACTGATCTTGAGAACAGCCACAGTACAATGATGAGTAAAATCACCGAAGCAACGAAGCATTCACGGGCCCTCACTGACTTGCCGTTCGTCGTCATCATCGCTAAAAGCCTTACCACCAGCTGTTTGTGTCGACTGTCGCTCGTCGAATGTTTGTGACCGAAGCCACATTATAATCCCAAATTTTCAATCCACAAGGCACGACGAAGTTCCGACGCAGTATCCCGGCACGCTCAGCATAATTTGGCTTGATGTCTTCGGGGTTCAGGAAGAATACTCCGTGACCCAGGGAGTAGTCAAACAAGAGAACTAAAGTAAAGTGACCACTTCGGAGTTGAGGCAACATTGAACAAATGCTGTGTGCGACCAGAGGTTTCCAATGGCAATGGGTGCACACGCCGTCGGCTCCACAATATTGACCAACTTGCATTCAGGCGTGACTTAGCAGCAGCGGAGCTCCACGCCTACCCTCCAGAGTCGGCCTAAGAAATGTGGGATTTTTGGTATGACCGTTTGCTTGCCGTTCTGAACCGCCACGTTCCGCTTGAGCAATGCATTGCTAGAGTAGAGAAACCAAGCATCTACCACCATGGTCTGACAGGGAACTCTACAAGGAATTAGTTGAACCAGCACAAGCGCCGACTGCATCGCAAGTGGCTTGGTGTGATATATAGAGCAAACCTTGAAGCTCATGCAGCATTTAAGCGTGCTCGCTCCAATGCTGCAAACGTATACGGAAGCGCAATCAGCATTTCTTCAATCAGTTCGAGGAGAACAGCCGGAACCCACGCAAAATATGGTCAGACTTGAATGCTGTTACCGGACGAAAGACACAAAGTCGCGAGCCGACATGTGACATTGAGCAGGTTTCGGACGCATTCTGTCCGGTGGTGACAGATGAGGCCAGACCCAGTAACATTTCCGCACCGGAGGGTCCACCTCAACTAGACTCGTTCCATTCATTTGCTGATGTCGATGTTCACCACGTCAAATAGGCCTTGACGGATTATGCTAATATTTTCGTGAAATTATGCTTTTCGCATTGCTGAAAAAATTGCAGAATTATGCTATTTTTATGCTAAAAGTTATCATATTATGCCGCATTATGCTCACGCTAATGCAAATGGTTCTGTGCAAAATAACAAGGGAAAGTTTTTGTAGAGGGCGTTGTGCTGTAGTAGCAAAAGTTCAACGGGGTCAACGCACCGTCCGACCTAGCTACGACCATCACTGATTGTAGTGGACTGGACATGTTATCAAGGGAGTCGTAAACCTACAACTTCCTAGTGCATCTACTTGTACTTGTACTCGTACTTGTAGAACATGTACAACTGTATAGAATTTGATGCGAACAGGCGGATTATTACAATTTTATGCGATTCGTATGCAATTTGCCTCGAATTATGCGATTATTCGACTTTGGTAGGAATTATGCAAAATATTATGCTAGCATAATCCGTCAAGGCCTAACGTCAAACGTTTTTTTATCCCAAGTCGATCCCACTAAAGCCACGGGCAGTGACGGCATTCCAGGAGCCCTTTTGAGAGATTGCGCTGATCTGCTGGTACCATCTCTCACCAAGATCTTCAACGCTTCCCTTCGGAGTGGTATCATTCCACCCCAGCTCAAGCAACTAGTTAGCGTACATCATGGTTACAGGACAGGTACATGTACATGTATGTACGACCCTTGTTTAAAGGGGAAGTTAAGGCAAAAAATAAAATTTCACCAGTTGTAGTCTTCGGGGTGCTGATTCGAATGGTCGTGGTCCGAGGAAGCTGAGACGCTCCCTTCCTACTTGAATCCCAATCGAACTCGCGCACTTCCACCGAAACTGGGTGAGTGCGCCCTACTAGATGGGGATTTGTATGCAAAATGTCACTAAAAGCGCCATTTCGTTCTTATAAAAGCACGGATGACCGCGATTGGCCCATATGTTGTAGTCTTTTGGACGCTGAGTCGACTGGTTTTGGTCCGAAAAGGCTGCGATGCAGCGTTCCTCCTTTATTCCCAATCGAACATGGTTGAACAAGCGGTCACGTGGCACGTGCTGCTGCGTACGCCAGTCACCTGGACCTGGTCACCGTGCCAGCGCGTGCCTGCAGGGTACAACTTACTAGCCTGTTTGACCTTTTTTCGGGTGCAGTCCTGTCACTCGAGTTGAACCTTGGTGTGAAAGTTGTCGCCTGCTGGCGTGGTGACCAGGTGATTTGGGCACC